TTGAATTATCTACGAAACGATTTATTTTTTTCAAAATATCGCATCGGAATATCCATTACCATCAAAAACAACAGAACTTTGCCATTAACCGAATCTGTAAGTATAATAATAACACAGATAGTCATGTTATCCTACTCGATTTAAGACACCCGGTGTTGTAATGGAACCGAATTTGCCCGCTAAAATTCGGCCGCAACGAAAGAATTCAAGATTCCGTTTTGTTTCGTTTCCGTGGTACACGTGTTTTTTTTTCTCTGCGCTCCATTCAAATGGGCCATAATTTACAATAAAAGTGTCAAACATAACGCTAGATGAGAAAAGTTAATGATCTATATCGACCGACGACTGGGCGGTGCTTTTGTTAAGGACAGTGGTAATTTTTACGTTTCGAATACCGAGTTACTGTGAGTGTCTCAACTATTATTCAGGTGCGTATTTTTTTTCATCTTTACGTTTATTGCATCCATCTAGTAATTTTATGATCGTGCCAAATTAACGACGTTCCCGTACAGCATGGACATTGTCATTTATAGCACATTACAAATACAAATTGCTCTTTTATAATTATGCTGATTATACTTTGAATTAAATGCGAGATTCCATTAGGGTTTTTACGTAGATATATTGTTTGTTTCAATTTACAGTATCCCTTTGTCCTAGTGCTGGTTTTACCTGCCAACCGGCAATATGAATGTCTGACCGATTTACGTGTTGGTTGATTCCAAATAAAATACTAAGTGTTTAATATCAGCGGTTTTGTAATTTTTTTCTATCGAGTGGCGTAAAAATCCAACATAGCGTCCATTTAAAATAAGGAAGTTGATGTCAATATCTCGGAAACCGCCATTTTAAATTTTTTTTTCTACGTTCATTGAATTTATCCCATCCAATCTTGCAACTTTTATTTGGAACGTTTTTCGATAGCTCTCTTTGTTACGAAAATATTCCAACTTTTTAAAAATGGCGATTTTCACTTTTTTGAATTATCTACGAAACGATTTATTCTTTTCAGAATATCGCATCGGAATATCCATTACCATCAAAAACAACAGAACTTTGCCATTAACCGAATCTGTAAGTATAATAATAACAAAGATAGTCATGTTATCCTACTCGATTTAAGACACCCGGTGTTGTAATGGAACCGAATTTGCCCGCTAAAATTCGGCCGCAACGAAAGAATTCAAGATTCCGTTTTGTTTCGTTTCCGTGGTACACGTGTTTTTTTTTCTCTGCGCTCCATTCAAATGGGCCATAATTTACAATAAAAGTGTCAAACATAACGCTAGATGAGAAAAGTTAATGATCTATATCGACCGACGACTGGGCGGTGCTTTTGTTAAGGACAGTGGTAATTTTTACGTTTCGAATACCGAGTTACTGTGAGTGTCTCAACTATTATTCAGGTGCGTATTTTTTTTCATCTTTACGTTTATTGCATCCATCTAGTAATTTTATGATCGTGCCAAATTAACGACGTTCCCGTACAGCATGGACATTGTCATTTATAGCACATTACAAATACAAATTGCTCTTTTATAATTATGCTGATTATACTTTGAATTAAATGCGAGATTCCATTAGGGTTTTTACGTAGATATATTGTTTGTTTCAATTTACAGTATCCCTTTGTCCTAGTGCTGGTTTTACCTGCCAACCGGCAATATGAATGTCTGACCGATTTACGTGTTGGTTGATTCCAAATAAAATACTAAGTGTTTAATATCAGCGGTTTTGTAATTTTTTTCTATCGAGTGGCGTAAAAATCCAACATAGCGTCCATTTAAAATAAGGAAGTTGATGTCAATATCTCGGAAACCGCCATTTTAAATTTTTTTTCTACGTTCATTGAATTTATCCCATCCAATCTTGCAACTTTTATTTGGAACGTTTTTCGATAGCTCTCTTTGTTACGAAAATATTCCAACTTTTTAAAAATGGCGATTTTCACTTTTTTGAATTATCTACGAAACGATTTATTCTTTTCAGAATATCGCATCGGAATATCCATTACCATCAAAAACAACAGAACTTTGCCATTAACCGAATCTGTAAGTATAATAATAACAAAGATAGTCATGTTATCCTACTCGATTTAAGACACCCGGTGTTGTAATGGAACCGAATTTGCCCGCTAAAATTCGGCCGCAACGAAAGAATTCAAGATTCCGTTTAGTTTCGTTTCCGTGGTACACGTGTTTTTTTTTCTCTGCGCTCCATTCAAATGGGCCATAATTTACAATAAAAGTGTCAAACATAACGTTAGATGAGAAAAGTTAATGATCTATATCGACCGACGACTGGGCGGTGCTTTTGTTAAGGACAGTGGTAATTTTTACGTTTCGAATACCGAGTTACTGTGAGTGTCTCAACTATTATTCAGGTGCCGTATTTTTTTTTATCTTTACGTTTATTGCATCCATCTAGTAATTTTATGATCGTGCCAAATTAACGGCGTTCCCGTACAGCATGGACATTGTCATTTATAGCACATTACAAATACAAATTGCTCTTTTATAATTATGCTGATTATACTTTGAATTAAATGCGAGATTCCATTAGGGTTTTCACGTAGATATGTTGTTTTTTTCAATTTACAGTATCCCTTTGTCCTAGTGCCGATTTTACCTGCCAACCCGCAATATGAATGTCTGACCGATTTACGTGTTTTTATTTATATTTAGATACAGTATGTTCTCTTAGAGATTATATTCTATACGAGTATACAGAATGAAACGATGTCATAAATATTATAGCGATTCTGCGGTGCTGTATTTGGAAACATCGATGCTATATTCTTAATTTATAATTGAATTTCTTGCAACGCGCTTCCTTTCTTTTGCATGAATATGTTACTGTTTATTTACGGGGTGCTTCCTCTGGGGGCGAGTAGTGTACATTATGTCGTTGATTGTTACATTTTTCACTTGGAATTGAGAACTAATTACTTTATACTAATGTTGTTCCACGACATGTTCCTTTGTTTGGTTGTAATGTGATACTCAACATTATGCTCCTATGTATTTGAATCGGGTAATAATGATTATTATTTGGCAGGGTGACTTGTTTCTAATATGTATTGTGCTATATTTGATACCGATATTTAATCGCGATTTGACGTAGCAGAGGGTGGTCGACAACTGACATACGCAGAGAAAGTGTCTTAGAAAAGAGCCATCTTGCCGATTTTGCTAATCAATTCGTCTAGCTGACCCTTGACCTTTTGTTTTCTTGTTGTATCCAATGGGGTATCCTTTTGGAGTAAAATGCTCTCTGATCTGATCCAAACTTATGTGCATTTATTCCTAATGGCTTAATGATTGTTTTTTTATGTTATGTGTGTCAAATATTAATTCTTTAGGAATTCCAGTAGAGCCTATGATTAGACATTCTATTAATTAACTAGAAAACCATCATAATATGCATTTATGTCATTACAGACAACTAATTTTGCTCTAAAGCTTAATATTAATTTGTTGGCTGGTTTTTTCTTGGTCAGTTCTTTTTTTCCCAGCCTATTCTTATATTTGTGCTCGGTGAAATACCATTTTTCTAAATTTAATCTTGCAATGCTAATTATTTTGATTAAATCCCCGTTTTAAAGCATGTATTCGTTTTATTTGTATTCGTTACTTGATCCTCACTCCGACAGACAACAAATACGTCGTAGCGACTTTTAAAAAAACACAACGTAGTAAGTGGTCCTGGTATTTTGTTATTAAGGTTAAGTAGCTTTCGAGGTAGCGTTGTTTAGAGGAGATGCCATGGGGTTCAGTTAGCTTGGGAGGGAAAGTTTGCTGGCTAGCCTGGGTACTTCACAATATTAACACAAATCTAAAGAAATCCCGAAATCCAAATGAAATCCATGGAGATACAGAGAGTATATTGAGATTCAGAGGAAATTCGAAGTGATCCTAGGAGATTCGGAGGAAATCCGAGGACATTTTACGAGAAATAAAGGTGTAAACAAATATACCATACGAGCTCCTGGGTATGGCTATAGCCAGGGCTATTAGCATGCGCAAAACCAACTTTTGAACTTGGTATTAGAGTCGCTTTTGTACCAAGTGCAGATGTGCCAAATTTCATTTAAATACCTTCATAAATAAAAAAAAGTTTGCAATTAATAGTCAAGGTTTGGAAATGACACTGTGAATGTTGAATCGATTAGTCTTAACTTTTGGCATTGGGTATTATATGGCTAAAGCTATTCCATATTGAATTTCGTACAATTCGGATCATAACTAATGCAAACAAGAGGGCCTCCCTTATTTTTTGGCCTACATTCGCAATTCACGAACTCCTATCTACAAATTTGATAAATAATCCAACTGCAAAGTTTAATCGTAATCGGCGCATTCGTTTTTGAGTGCTAACGCACGGACGGACAGACGCCGCAAAATTACAAACTCGCTAGGGGTTCGTTAATAATGTGTAGTGAATAACCCATCACTTTACATGTTATCATCCCTGAGGGCCGAGCTTGAGAAAAATCAGTGCCATAATCCACGTCACAGTGTTTTTCCGTTTTCCGAGCGGAATTGATGCTCAGTCTTGCGTTTCCTTGCAGAACTGTGATTTGAAACATCGCATCCATATACAAAAAGCATCATGTACGTTGCTGGAAATAATAATCTCCCCAGAAAATGAATAATAAAAAAGTGAAATTATTTAAATTACCTTTGAACGATTAGAGAACACAATTTAAGCGCAAAGCCATATGCATTAAAAAGAAATCTGTCGTAAAATTTCTAATTTATTTTGTAAATTCAATTTCACTCTCAAGAGTTAATTGAGTTGAAAATATTGGAATAATTTCCTCCGGGCCTATTTTCCATTTTTCGCAACTGGTCACCGCTTTGGAGACGTTCAAAAATTAATTTAGGATCAGTCATTGGCCAAACAAAGCGAGTTTACATGTACAATGAAACTCAAAAGCGATAGTGAATGTAATCGCGTGCATATGCAAGAAAATAATACTTTTAGATTGTAAGCCTTACCTGTTCTTCGAAGTGGCGAAACGTATCCGTTAATCCAAATAGACAGTGGACACACAGAAAAAATAAATCACTCCTAATCACTTGCGAGAGCCGATTCATTTAGAACAGACCCGCATTCCGCGACTTGAACGTATGTTTGGACGTCTTTGGTTGGCCGTGAGTTCAACATGCACACAGGAAGGAAGGTGTCGAGAAGGGAGAGAAGCTTACGGCAAGGTTATACATGGTCACTTTCTGAGATGACCTTGCGTCCATGGTTATCGAATTGATACGGAATCTCTCCGGGTAGTAAGCAATTAACCAAGACCGAAAACGGTCCTTTTTTTGGAAAATTCCGCGATTCGTCACGCCCGCGTGACGAGCTTGCGTACTCGCGTCGGTTCCCACGTAACGGTTACGATGGTGCATTAGGATTAGACGTCCAGCAGGCGGGCGAATATAATCGGTTTTAGGTCAAACGTTATAGACAAAGAGATTTGCGCCGTTGCGAAACTCGAAACGGAAAGATCTGACGGCGATCGCTGCCGTTGTGATTCATGCTTGCAATTTTGCAATAGGAAATCTGAGTTGGTTACTCTTCGAATTGTACGCTTGCACAATGACCCATTCGCAGCTGATGAATGTGCAAATCATATCCACCACCTTCATCCTGAGGTAGTCTTCATCTTCTAATTCCTAGTTTGAGTGTTGCAGGTCCTACCACTGTAACGGCCCATAAACAATTTTACACATTCCTTCCACCTTGCAAGCCTCCCCTGACCAACGTTAAGCTCGTCATCTTACCCGAAACCGAAATCCTTAGGAAATCCACCCATCACCTGCACCCAACCGTCGGATCCAGACCTCGCAACCAGGCCACCAAAATTCAAGATGATGATGATGAGTTATACGCAGGTTCCATTTTGCCGTCTCACACTCCTTTCTGTCCCTTTCAATCGTCTACCACCTTCATTCTTCTTCCTCTTGTCCTTGTACCATCCACGGGTTCTTCGATCACGTTCTTCGGCAAGCTATTCCCTCTTAGCAAATGACCAGGACACATTCTTTTCCTTCTCAAATTTGTTTTGGACAAAGATCTTCCTTCTCGTACTCTTCCTTCTCTGGTACTGGTATCAGTAGGAGATTTGACATTTGGAGGTCCCACCAAGATAAATGGAAAATAAGTAAGAAGAACAACTATAAATTGTGCAGATAGTTTAGTAAATGGCTGCGTTATAAGGTAGCAGCATGCTATATTTATCGATGTTTTCTTTCTTTAATTAATGGGGACTTCTCCATTTTACATTTGTGGGTACTTTCCTCCGACAAAACGTTTTCAAGATATGCGCTCGTAAAGTTTTGATATCACCAATAGATTCCAGACGTCCCAATCGCCCTTTGTGAGTACCATTCTCCGACAATCTGTTCTTGAGATACCTATAAGGAACTAGCTGACCCGACGATCTTCGTACCGCCTTAGAATGAAAAATCCGATGCAACTGAATACATCATTTTTACAACACACCTAAAGGATTGATTCTGTCCCACCAGATGAGCATAGCTTGTAAAGCAAACTTTTGAATCGGTATTAGTTTTACTTTTATTCGAAGTGCCCACATACAACATTTCATTTAAATATCTCAACAAATAAACAAACGTACTGCGCATGCGCAAAACAATTTTTGGATTCGGCATTAGTTTAGTTTTATTCGAGGTGCTTATATACAACATTTCATTTAAATATCTTAACAAAAAAACTGGGATTGCACAAATACAAAAGTTTGGGTTGCGCATGCGCAATTTTTTCTTATTCATCTGATAAGTTACCTGAGGTTTAAGGAATATAATTACTTAACCCAAAATTATAAAATATGTATAAAAGAAACCCTTTTTTGGGCAGCTTTTGGGCATAGTCGAAAAACAATAGCGACCTTTCTTATATTCCTGAAGAACATGTGTAGGTATCAATTTTTAACGCGATCGGACGTTTCTACACCAAATTATCGTGCACACGGAAGACAGACGGGCAGACAAACAGCAATACAAAAATATAATTCAGAATTCTTTCCTGCATTTTTCGTAAGTATGTGTTAATATTCTACGTGCTATTCCCAGCGAAAATAAATCCAACACACCAAAAGTCATTAAAATCGGTACAGCCGTTCTTTAGTTAGAACGTCATTAACTCATTTAGATCTTTCTGTTTTATATATAATCGTGAATTTCCCATTTTTTGGTTAAATTTTCCCATGTTCTATTCCCAGGGAAGACTGATCGAACAAAATCATTCAAATCGGTGAAACCGTTCTTCAGTTATAAGATTACAAACACATTCAGTCTTTTATATATATATATATATATAAATTTTGGTGTAGTCGATTTTTGGTAAAAAAGGAAGGTTATACACTGCCTTTTTTTGAGCCCCGAAAAACAAATTGTCTCACATCGACCCGGAAAATAGTATATTAAGATACAAGTGTATAATCAAGTCTTTAAAGCACGCGCAACGAGTTTAAGGGCACGACGCAATGCGGAGTGCCTTTAACGTTGCAAGTGCTTTAAAGACCAATTATACACGTGTATCTTATAGTATTTTTTATTATACCTGCAGTATAATTTAAAAATAGGAAATACAATGAAATCATATTGACGTTATACTCGAATACATGTTTAATTAAGTGGGCTGGGTGTTCGAAATTCCACGATTGCCATGGAAATGTCACTTGACGTTTGCTTATAAAAATCATCGTCTTTGTAAATAAAACGATTTCCGTTGAAAAAGATAATACACCGTCCATTAAATCGCTTGTTATAAAATCTAAACAAACGTTGGTAGGCGTAAAATCCAAATCCAGCAAAGACTATTATAAAGAATTTGAAAAATTGTTTCCATGGATGAAAAGGAAGTTACTTACGAATAAAGTCTTAAATGCATCGATAATGCTGGGATATATGAAGGAAATGTCAAAGGTATTTAAATCTCCTATCTTTTGGTGCATTAACTCAAAACTTCAAACAATGCTGCGATTAAAAGTGGAACAGATTTGGAAGCACACCCTAAATTACGCGCGTTTGTGAAACCTTCAACCAAAGGATAGGTACAAGCCAAAGAAATGTTATGCATTTACAGAAAGCGACCTAAGAGGATTTTTTATTTCAGCCCCAGATGACAGTTTCAAAAGTCATACTTGAAGTATCGTTACTTAGCAACTTTAAAGCACGTGTGTTTTAAAGGCCTTTTTTCGCACGCATTTGAGTGTTTAAAACGGAGATTGTGATTCAGGTATAATAAAATAGTTATTTATATAACAAGAGCGCGAAGTTCAATTTCGCGCATTGAGACTGAAGGTATTTTGACGAGGCGAAGCCGAGTTAAAATATCAGTCAAATGCGCGAAATAACTTCGCGCTAGCGTTATATACAATATTTTTTCTACAACTGAACCGATTGTTAATTAAATTTGCTGTTTAAGTTCAACTTTGTCACGTGCGCGAAATACTTTTTTTCACTGTTGACGATTTCGCGCACGTTGGCAAGGGCAACCTTACTTATTAATTAACCGTTTAAAAATCTAGTACTTCGCGCTTCGAAATTCGTCAGAAAATGACAGGTTTTTTTGACAGTTGTAGAAAAAATTTTTTTTTATAGAATGTGGCCTGTAGAATCCATAATTTCAAACAGTTCCAATATTGGGATACTAGTTCAAAAGTTACAGCCCCTTGAATGTTCTTTCGAAATTGTTTTCTAGTCTATAACTTTTGATTGAGAAGTCTGATCGAAAAGTACGAATTGATTTCGATTCTACGCACCCAAATTAATAAGAAAAGGTGTTTTCCCGAGAAATTTTGGTGTAGTCGATTTTTGGTAAAAAAGGAAGGTTATACACTGCCTTTTTTTGAGCCCCGAAGAAAAAATTGTCTCAGATCGACCCGGAAAAAAATTTTCTTATAGAATGTGGCCTGTAGAATCCATAATTTCAAACAGTTCCAAGATTGGGCTACTAGTTCAAAAGTTACAGCCCTTTGAATTTTCTTTCGAAATTGGTTTCTAGTCTATAACTTTTGATTGAGAAGTCTGATCGAAAAAGTACGAATTGTTTTGGATTCTACGCACCAAAATTAATAAGAAAAAGTGTTTTCCCGAGAAATTTTGGTGCAGTCGATTTTTGGTAAAAAAGGAAGGTTATACACTGCCTTTTTTTGAGCCCCGAAAAAAAAAATTGTCTCAGATCGACCCGGAAAAAAAATTTTCTTATAGAATGTGGCCTGTAGAATCCATAATTTCAAACAGTTCCAAGATTGGGCTACTAGTTCAAAAGTTACAGCCCTTTGAATTTTTTTCGAAATTGGTTTCTAGTCTATAACTTTTGATTGAGAAGTCTGATCGAAAAAGTACGAATTGTTTTGGATTCTACGCACCAAAATTAATAAGAAAAAGTGTTTTGCCGAGAAATTTTGGTGTAGTCGATTTTTGGTAAAAAAGGAAGGTTATACACTGCCTTTTTTTTTGAGCCCCGAAAAAAAAATTGTCTCAGATCAACCCGGAAAAAAAATTTCTTGTAGAATGTGGCCTGTAGAATCCATAATTTCAAACATTTCTAAGATTGGGCTACTAGTTCAAAAGTTACAGCCCTTTGAATTTTTTTCGAAATTGGTTTCTAGTCTATAACATTTGATTAAGAGGTCGGATCGAAAAAGTACGGATTGATTTGGATTCTACCCACTCAAATTAATAAGAAAAAGTGTTTTCCCGAGAAATTTTGGTGTAGTCGATTTTTGGTAAAAAGGGAAGGTTATAATTGTACGGATTAAGATTCAAGCAACGTCAGTCGTATCTAAATCGACGTTTAGTTAATATGCGCACGGGTAGATGTCTCTGTAACTTGCTAACTTCAAGTTCAACTTTTAATCTGTCAAACTTCGAGGTTGCGTAGATTGATATGCGGATTCAAAACTAAAAGCACTTAAAGGGAACTGTTAAAGGGAACTGTTACTATTTAGTGAATTATTAAAATAGAAGAAATGGTTGTTATAATTATCTTCACTTATTTGAACCTATACTTAATGTAGGTAAACACACCGATCCTCTACATTCATTTATAACATGCATTTCAGGCAGAAAACTGGCAAATCAAATGCGTTATTCTAAAATGTTGAACATTAGCTACGAGCAAGGTTTCACAATATCGTATACAGTCCTCTTCTTTCGGCAAAGGTGATTTGGTAACGAGACATCTGTATCTGCACCATATCGTGCTTCAGCTTATGAGATTATGTCAAGAAGAAGTCAAAAACAATTTCGTTATACTTATAACGGATGTTCAGTTCTAGTTTAGATGCTACAAGATAATTATAAAGTTACGTCAATGGT